ATTATTACAAGTACACATGATTACGTGAGCACTAAACTACTCGGCCGTCTCAGTTTTAATGGTTAAAACCACGAATGAAGTGAAACAAGGTCCCACTCACAGTCAGACCGAGTCAGAGTGAAAACAACAGCAGAAACGCTGTCGCAGCTGGTAACCAGGCAGAGAAAATTGATTTCTATTCTTTCTACACAGTTGCAGAACTATTCATGGACTCACACTGACAGTCTGTTCGTTTCATGCATTCTTCTGCTTTAGCTGCACATAAATAGAGCACCGCTTTCACTCCAGAGGCTCAGACATCTGGAATCAGGGACCGACTCAGTGATTTCTGAGCCCAGGGACCAAAAAAACGCAAATCTGAAACAACCTTTCGCCATCGCAACCATGTTCAAGTCATGTGTTCAAAGTTCAGGGCTGCTGGAGGCAGCTATGGATGGAAATTCATTTCAACAAAAGATCCAATCAAAGATCCTTCGATACACACATTACGAGCGGGACTGTCTCTTTAAGAAATCTGATTTACATCATGTTTACTATTTAATGAAACAGTTTGTTCGGTTGTGTTTGAGGTTTTTAAATGAAATCATGTTTAACTTCTTCGAGTGAAGTTTTATAAATGTTTGGCACCAGAGTCACAGGCCAGTTTTACTCTTGTCTGCAAGAAATGATGTTTCAGCAGGAAACCTAAGGGGCTGGATTCTATTATCTTAAAGTAGTAAAGAGCTCTGTCTGTGGTCCAACAGGTTACTGAAAGGTTTTGGTTGAACACAGATGAACCAAAGTCAGTGTGAACCTTTGCTAATAAAGAAAACAAACCATAAAACAGCTGAATGACGCTGTAATCACGTGAATGGATGTGGCTGAGAGTCCGGATGTATTTGCGGAAAATGAGAAGATTTCAAACACAAATTAACATCATATCTTCATTATGATAATAGATAATATAATATGGTTGCAATTAGGATTCTGCAGAATGTGTTTGCTCGAGGACAGAGTTGACAACAGAGGTGGAGGACGGGGACAGAGATCAGAGTTTGGATCTCTCGTCCTGGGTTCAGGCCATAAAAGCTCTGCGGTGTTAGATTTGGTTTCACACCTCGTGCACTTTTATCTCGATCCCAGTTTTAATGAAACTGCTTGTCGGTTTGAAAATGTCGCCAACAAAGACGAACTGATTGAACAGCTGAGGGAATTAAACGGCTGCTCATCGACCGCAGGACCAACTTCTCCATCCATCAAGGTTTCCTGCTGCGTGTGTTTTGAAGCGAGAAGGGAGTAAAAGAGAAAAACAAAGAAATGCAAGAGAAAGATTGATTTAACTAATTAACCTTTGCATAATAAATTAAATACTTGTGTGCACCACCCGTGTCCCTTAAGCAGCCAAGAGGACAAACATCGGTGTCCGGCCACATCAGAGACATCCGTCCTCATTGATAATCAATCAGTGCTTTTCCTCACACTCTTATTATCATTGTGCTTTTGTCTCCACGGAGAGAAACTCTCTCTCCAACGTACGATTTTTTACAGAAAAGCAGTTCAGCCCCTCGAGAGCTATTTCAATGCCCAGTGACTTAGAAACGCAATTTACCAGCAACACTTGCACAGCTGCTGACTTTGTTAATATGCAATGGCCTTTCCCACACTTCAGCATTTACTTCCAACCACATATACAGTATACGACCGCCCATATCAGCGCAGAGGCTTAACAACTTCCAGCTTATTGAGAGCTACGTGAAAGTGCACGGACCGGAGGGGATGTGGGTATTAGCACTTTGAGCTCTTTCAATTTGGTTTGTGCCGTTTCAAAACGATATTCATTAGACTCTTCTCATTTATGGCAAAGTGCAAAGTACGTCACGCTTTCTAAAGTCAAACCTAAGAGACATAAAGTTGGAGAGAAGAAAGTCAAAATAGCTTTTTATTCACATGTACATTTAAAAAATTCTACTTAAGTAAAGCTAAAATGTTGTTATCACTGAACTGCCCCGAACCTCCACATATCTGAACTATAACTAAAGTGACAGAAGCCAAATTTACTTTTCAGTTTGGTCCATTTCTCCTCCACTAACATGGAGGAGGCAGAGTTTGTAGCCTATACTGCAGCCAGCCACCAGAGGGCTACCAGGAGGATTTACGCCACGTTCATTACACCTCGGAGCTCGGCTGTCGGGATGACACCACACCGACTAACCCGAGTTTACAGTGTTCCAGTACAGGAACAATGTTTACGTTAGCCAGCAAGACATTGTTAGCATAACCAGCTCATAATAACATCCGCAGACGATAATTGGACACTACTTCGTGGTCGGACTTGGGGAGCTGTCTTGTCATCTTTATATACAGTCTATAGTCAGTACCATAGAGTTTGTCGAGACCCAAAACATATATACATATATATATATATATATATATATATATATGTATATATGTATATATATTTATAGTGTCCAAATATGCTGCAGTTTGCTACATGTAATAAAGCGAACATTGTTTTTTCTTGTTGCAAATGTAATTATGCTGAAAAGAAAGTCCTGCTATGTGTAGCTCATTAACAAAACTTAATTATACACCCATGTACATGGCTGGAGAGCTACTTTATATGATTTGATGTGCGGCAAGCTGCTGTTTCAAATAATCACAAGCTGCAAGCTGTTGTCTTCAGCACTAATCACTGACATCCCAAAACATCCTCGACATTCAGAAACAATATGAGAATAATGAAATGAGGAAGGAAAACAGGCAGAAAAAAGCCCCTGCAGACGCAGACTCCTGTCTCCTCCAGTGTTCCACAATCTGTGCAGCAGAGTCCTCAGCAGGATACTAATCACATATCACCAGAGAAACCGACGCTCCCCGCATGAATCACAGATGACTTTTGCAGCATGTCTCGCTGGACTTGCGGACTCGTCGTGCCAACATGTTTCAGACGCCGCCTCGCTCTACTGTCAGTTCAATTTAGGACCTGTCTCTTCTTCTACTGTTTATCCATGTTCGGGACAAACCTCTCTGTTGTCTGTAGCTCGCTGTCGCTCGTTAACAACATGCACTCTGGGAAGTCTGTGACAAACCAGGAGGGTGACAGGAACACAAGAGTATATCAAGACAGAGACTGAGCGAGGGAGGAAGTGGAAAACCTCAGGCTGCCTGGACGGTTATTGGCGTACCTGACAAGTGCAGCACTCACTGTCTTTATTTCTATTTTGTACTCACAAACCCTCCATTCAGCCCAGCGAGCCTTCTTTCACTCACGGTGTAAGTTGGAATAGAAATGATACGATCATAAATCTGAGACGTAAACACATTTCTGCAGCAGCATGGCGTCTGCTCTTCACTATAAGGTCTGTCCCGGTTCCCTCCTTCTAGTCTCATTTTCCTTTTCCATCAATTTGCTCAAACATGAAATCAACTTACATAAGCAAACACAGGACTACACAGCACTGTTTGCTTTACATTTCCCAGCTAATTGTACCATTGCCTGGGGATAACTCGATTAAGATTGGCTAGAGGATGTCCATTAATTGGATTTAATGCACAGTACAACCGGACACCTCTGATGTGACTGTCTGAACATCGCTCCGAATAAATGCAGCAGCAGTGCTAAGTAATTGAATGAGATATACATCACTCCCTCTGCCTGCTCCATTGTTTTCTGAACTCCACAGCGTGGCAACAAAGCAAGCCAACATAATAATATTCCAAGGGTTTTGAATGGGTTCCAGGTATTACTCAGCCCCCAGGGGGGGGTTACCAGGGAATCTGAGATATTACCAGGAACACGGTCTGGTAATATCCCAGGATAAAGGGGAGTTTGGCTTCCACTGGTTCAGGCGGCTGAGCCAGGAATCAAATCACACGTATGTGTCGACTGAAACAGTGAAGCCAGTCTTGGAAATGTCCGACAGTGACTGAGTTACACCACTGGTCAGTCGAACGTCAAAGCTTTACATTTCAGGACGTTTGGGAACGATGACGTGAACATCTGCGTTTGCTTCCTGATTCCGACTCTGCTACCGGTGGTTGCTGACACTCACAGTCCAGATGTTATAGAAAGACCTTCAATCAGTGCTGCAACTGTCATTTCATTCAATTGTCAACCTCACCACTAAAGCCTGAGAAGCAAAGAACAAAACCTTCTCATGCTCACAGGAACAAAAGTCCAGCGCCGCATCATGACTGAAGCAATGCGTGGGATACGAGGCTGGAAATTTTGTGTTATCGGAAGCTGGGACACCAACGTATCTCCTGCCAACGTCCTGGTCGGGTCGCTGGGATCACCTCGGAACGAACAGTGGGGCTCTGACTGTTTTGCTGATACAAGAGAAGAGGCTGCAGCTTCCAGGGAGCTGACAACAAACATATCCCACACAGAGAGGACAGAGAAACACAGCTCTGGTAATGAGGAGGTAAAATCAGATAAGAGAAGCTGGCTGCGGATCTTATTTTCAAATAAAAAAAGTCCAAGTTTTATGCCCCTGGGTGCTGCCATGCTTATTGCATCTCACAGTCCACACATACGTCACATGGAGCAAACAACACAGGGACGATTTTTCCTCCCTTTGTTGGCAGAGACCAGAAACTGAGGATTCTCCTCATGAACGCTGATGCTGCTGTGTAACTGCTGGACGTGTAAACTGTTGATCCTGCTGCTCCCAGGTGAACAAAACAACAGTTAGCACACAAATAATAATAACACAAACAATTTCTGTATGTGAATTAGCAAAAAGAAAAGACGCGGAACTTGTTGACTGTAATGCATCGACTATCTGCTTTTGAATTTAGGTGCGTTCATATGCAGATAGCTGTTATGATAGAGAAAAGCTTGTCTGGACCTAAAACACCTGGAAAAACTTAACGCTGTGTTTCGATTGGAGAAACGTTTGACCCGATACTTGCTGTGCACACCAGGCGCCCCAAAATATTGGCCATTGCCCCCAGAGGCTAATTCATCGTCAAACAATAGCTGAATGGCTCAGAGATTGGTGTGCAAATGGATTTATAATAATGGGACTGGGAAGAATTTCAACTCTCATTAATTTCCCATCTATCTTATCCCTTGACCTCGGATGGACTCGTTCAGTGGTGAACGGTTCGAGAAAAGATGATGGTGAAACGCTCACTTATGATTATCATTACAAAGCATCTTGTTGGAGCCGTAAGTTTCTATATTTAACATCTTTAATCATCTTTCATCTTTAATTTATTCCCCTAAACTATGACTGTATTCAATATTCTGTGAAAACGAGACAACTTTAGATTCAAGTTGCACGACAGGGAACACGACCCCACCATCCTGCACATGAGCAACACCACAGCTGGAGCTCGGCCTCCACACTAGAGAAATCCGCTACCTCTAAACATTGCCTTGTGTCCACCGTTCGGAGCCAAAATTCTGTCCAAAGCAAGAATTAAAACTCCCATTTTCCAAAATGGCAGCAGGGTGGGTGACAAATTTGTAATCATCTCTCACTGTGAAGCCGTTTATTGTCCAGCCGAGCTGTGGGAGTAGAGAAATGTAATGCACAGAGACACTGATCCAAGATTCATTGCCAGATGAGGCTGCAGGACCTCACACTGTTCAGACCCTGTCGTCCTCTGGTGCCAACGCCAGAGTCTGATCCAGGGTCTGATCCAGACTCTGAGCTGGCGGAGGCAGCCATCAGACAGAAGTGAGTGGGTAGTCACAACGTGAGCAGGGACGCAGCTGTCCGGAAACCTCAGGAAAACTAAAACATACAAACACTTCCTCTGATATTCAACAGCGTGTGGAGATGTTTCATCCTTTTGGTGAATGCGGAGCAACAGCGCCCCCTGCATTCCAATATGGTGATTCATTCTGTTGGGGAACGAGTTTCCTCGTCGCCACAGCTGGAGATTTGATGATTTGATGAAATGGCAAACCAGCAGAATCCCAGAGGAAAGTTTCCAACATGAAGAGCTGATGAAGAACTTCCTGATATAATCATGTACATGATAAAGTGTCTGTCGGTGACGGATGGATGGAAACCGATTCTAAATTCAGACTCTTTGCATTGATTTGAATACTGTCCAGCCTGAGACGTGTCCAGTCCGAGGACTTCCTGTCCAAAACCATGAATGACGCAGGAGCTGCTAGCTGCAGGACGTCAGGATTAAATGGTCTCTGCTCTTTTTCTCCCGAGCACAGCAGAGCAACATCCTGTGTTTGGTAAAAACTCCTTATCCGCTACTTCAGGAGCGAGTGGAGCAGAACGCCTCCTGCCTTCAGCTCCGTGACCAGCGACAGTCGAAGCCTCACTTCACCTTCAAGTGTTTCTATGTGAAAACTGTGATTTTTACTCTCCGTCTCCGGACATGACAGGTTCAAAAACAATCTTCAGCGAAACAGAAGACACAAAAAGCCCCTGAGAATTTTGTTATTGATTTTAACTCAAACGTCCCTGCATGTTGCGACAGTCTGAGCCGCCACATCTCCTGAAACCTGCTTTTATTCTGTCCACTGAAATAAAGAAGAATCGAAGAGCAGGTTTTACTATATGTTGCGGTGTCATGGTTGCAGCTTGCAAGACCCACCTGCATGTTTTAACCGCTGAGTCACCATTGGTGGGTCGATAATTTAACTCGACAAAATGTGTTGAATATTCGACAGGAATGTTCGTACTCACACAAATATCAATTTATTCTACAGCAGTTTTCTTACAACCACAGACGTTCCTTTGCTTTATGAGTCACATCCATTGAATTACACACTAGTAAACAGTCAAAGTACCTTGATGTATTGATCTATTACAAAGTACACCCAGGACTTGAAGGACTGATGGTTCTGTCTTTGAGACTACCACAGAGTTGACGCAGGACGGATCCGTGGGTTCGGAGGACGAGCAGACGTCTCTACGATGATGTCAAACGTCAGTAGGTCTGATTAAAGCACTAATCCAGCAGCTGGTTTACACAACAACTACACAACTCACAGTAAATAAGCAGAGATATGGTTCAATGTGCTCAACCCAGCACTTCACAGGGAGAGAACATGTTCAGCCATCGTGTAATTTACTGTCTGAGGTTTTCTTTGTGTGAAAATACTTTAACAGTGCTTGTGAATTATATATCAGTTGTGAAACGGTGCAAACTACAAACTGCTCTATCCTCTAGTTAATGATTTTATACAAAGAAAAGAATCAAGGTTGAGACTGAGTGACTCTACAATCACAGCCTACACATTTGAAACATGGTCGTTTTCAAAGCATGGCCTCAAATTAAATAAACCTTGACGAGCTCAAGGCGAGACCGGAGAAAGCACAGTTTAGCTGGAGCATATTTCGTATTTCACACTCCCACGTGGAGAACAAAGCATACGAGCGGAGCAACAGGAATGTGTCTCTCCAAAAAAAAAAAACGAGAGGCAGCGCCGTGTACTCCATAAAACTGGATGGTCCAGAGTTACACCGTGTGATTCTTCTGAGAGCACAAAGAGTGTGGGCACGTTGATATTCAATGACTCTTCACTCCCATGCTCTCAGAACACATAATCCACTCCTGCTTCATAATCGAGGGTTCAAAACCCAGCGCTCCACTCGGCCATGTGGTCAAAATGAAACCCTGATGGACACCGTCCTCGTCCAGTTAAACCCACACCGTGCATGGTCGTGAGGGACGGCGTCTTCAGCTCTACGAGGACAGAACGTGCACCCAGTTTCATGTTGTTCGGTCCAGCACATTTTCTCCATTGCGACTCTGTAATGAGGTTTCTGACTCACAGCTGAAGAATAATTTATCCCGCTGACGAACAAATTGAGAGTTATCGGTCGTAAACATATTTAATATTTGATATTCACATGATTTTATGAGAAAAGACAAGTCAAACAAGCAGTCGGGTCAAAAAGCTTTGTCGGAAAAATGAGAATAAATATCCGTAATGCTGATTATATTATATATATGTAATATATATTATGGATAATTTCATTAACAGGAAGGTGGACAGCTTAGAAGTATCATTTATTTTGTTTAACTGATGATCACAGGTACACAGCAAGGTCAGAGACTCAGACTCTGATCTTTTAAATTCACATATAATTCATATGGAGTTAAAGAAGAAATCACTAAATTATCATTATTTAGGATATATATAAATATAACGTAGTGCCGTATATAATACAGAGGAATAAAGTATAGTATACTGAACTATACCACACTAAGTATAGTATAGTATATTATACTAGTGTAGGATAGTATAGTATGGTATATTGTGTAGTATTGTGTAGAATAATTAAGTATACTATACTTATATGTGCAATGTATATTAAGGAATATGTCGTTAAGATTAAATTGATCTAATATAATAATGTTTCATGGATAATGGAATTATAAACATCTGCACAACCACAGTTTGATGATTCAGTTTAAAAACTAAAACGTGTGTGTGTGTGTGTGTGTGTGTGTGTGTGTGTGTGTGTGTGTGTGTGTGTGTGTGGACTTACAGGTAACTGTTTCTCCAGGCAGTTGTTGAAATTTTTGATTTGGTTGGGCTTCAGCTTCTTGAGAGGGATTCTCGTTTCCCCGATGAACTCGTTGTGGCGGAATTTGTCCTCATCACACACTGAAATCCTGAGAGGAGGAGAGGAACAGAGTGAGAGGAGGAGAGGAACAGAGTGAGAGGAGGAGGACAAGTAAATGAGGCGAGGCTCGGGTTAAGGTCTTTGTCGCTGAGAGGAGGATTTACAAGTGAAAAATACTGTCAGTCTCCACCTGGAGCTCATCATCCTCCATCACAGGGACTCACTTCTCACCAAGTTGTTCACACCGGCCTCGTGGCACCGAGGACAGACCTCGGTACTTCTGCACGGAGGGAGTTTATAATAGTTTTGTCAGACTCCATCAATCAAAAACTGACGGAATAATTAAGCTTTACGAAGCATTCAGCCGCGTAAAAGACTTAAAGATGCTAGAATGAGAAACTTCTCCTCGAACAAACAGGATCCTGCTGTGCTCAGCTTATTTACCGAATGACTCCATGCATGACATGTAAAACTACATTCATCAGTTTATTTCTCAGTCTATAAAAAACAATGTTCATTATATTGAGAACCAGCATGCACTGAGGTTTCACTTTCCAGACAGGAGATCTATATTCATCTCCCACGTTTCATTACATTTATAACGAGAGTCAATTATCGGCGCTGCTCTCTGCGGACGCTCTGTATGTTTTCAATAAACGCCGACAGAGCTGTGGGAGCGAGGAGACACAGTCCTGACACGACTCACACCTGGTCCACATCACACTCGACTCGCTCCACACTGTTAGTTTCCTGTGGTTCCTTATATATTATTTGTGGTTTTGATATCCGTGGATTGTAGTATTTACAGAGGAGAGGTTATTTTATTCTCGGGACAACACGTGAAGATTAGCTCACACAGCTAACTCCAGTGGTATCTTCATCGTTTGTCCGTGTCAAATGAATGAACGAATATATAAATCTAGTATGTGTTCATAATACTGCAGTACAATCTAATGGAAAAGCTCCTGACATGTATTAGCGAGCAACGTGGATTTGTTACGTAAAGTAACAAGCGCTAAAATTTTCAATCCCGACTTTCCGGCTCATGATCTGTGGGAAAACTGTTTAGAACAAACAAATGGAGAGTTGGAGGGTTGAAGAATTGATGATCAGATTGTAAATAATTAAGTTTTCTCTAATGAACTGATGAACGCTTGCGCGTTCGTCCGCCGTTAATCAAACGGGGACGGACGTGGGGGATGGGTGAACATCCAATTTGGCAGCAGAGCTGAAGAGAAACGCTTCCACACGACTGAAAAGTTAATTAAACCTCACAACACAATAGTGTTCGATGAGGCTTCAACATGAGGAGGCTTCATTCACTGTTTCACATAAACACACACTCAGGAGTGAAGTGAGGATCATTGTGTGTTGTCGTCGTCGTTGTCACTGTGTTGTGTGACGATGATTCCACACTAATGACTGATATTAACTAAAACAACCAATCAGTGCAGTTTTTACCAAACTACAACTTTTCTTTAAAAACATGGAATTAAACTGTTGGAGGTTAAAATGGTTGTTTGTCTGAAACGTGTTTGGATTTATTTATGTCAGTCAAACATCACGATTGAGACTTTTACTGCATTTAAAACAATAATTATCCTCCTCCTCTATTCCTTCTTCCCTTCCTCATCCTTTCAACCATCCATTCCTTTCTTTCCCTTCCTCTTAGTATCAACTCCTCTGATCTTCTCCCCTTTCCTTCCTTCCTTCCTCCACTTATTACTTTTTGTCTTCCTTCGCTCGTCCACTTCCATTCCTTTCATTTCCTCCCTTTCCTTCTATTGTTCTAATCACCCTCCTCATCTTTCCATCCTTTCTCCCTTTCCCCTTAATCCATTTGCTTCCTTCCTTCCTCCACTTCCTGTTGTCATCCTTTCGTTCTTTCTCTCTTACCTCCTTTTCCTATTAATGACACTTCCTTTCACTCTGTTTTCTCTTTTCTTTTGTTCCATGTTTCTAATTTCTTTCCTTTTATACTTTCACTCCCCCATTCCCTTTCTACTTTTTCTCTTCCCATGCTCTTCCTTTCCTTTCCTCCCTCCCTCCCTCTCTGTACCTGAGTGTTTTGCGGACCATATCCTCGTCGGTGATGCCGTAGTAGGTCAGGGTCTCGCTCCACACCGGGTTGAGTGTGTTGTGCAGGGTCTTGGTTCGAAGTTTATTTGCCTGAAAGACAAACAGAGGAGACGAGTGAACGTGACGCTCGACTGACGCTCGTCTTCCTCTGACTGAATCTCAGAACTCGTCTCTCAGGCGTCATTAAGATGCTTCTAGTTACACGAACATCAGTGAAGACATGCAGCCTCTGGGCCCTGCAGAGAATTAGCCGACGTGTGCTGAGACGAATGCAAACACACGCTCACTGCTGCATTTTGAACAGAGCGGAGAGTGACAAGTAAACACTGGACTGCATCCGCAGGAATATCAGAGCAACACAGAAGTGTTTCAGAGAGAACTCAAACTTCTCAGGAACAAATAAAACAGTAAAGGACCAAAACACCAGAGAAATAAAATGTTAATTCATTTATAGTATTGATTATTTAATACAAACAGAAACCTTCAGACGTTGTTTTACACCTGAAAGTCTGTGTCGTTCATTAATGGAGCGCACTAAAGACTGTGCATTGAATAGAATTCGTTTGAAAGGAGAAAATGAAGGAATTGGTCGTGATATCAACATGGTTTTACTTCCTCGTTGCACAAATGTCACATCATCAGACGTGAAGACTGAAGCGATCCCTGTGATCCACTTCTTTTTCTTTCCCTCTGTCTCAACTTCCTGCAATTAAGTTGAAAATTGCCAACTATCCCAAAAAGTGTTTTCACACTGCACACGTCAAGAAACACGGTTCAGTTTGATTTTCGGTGTGTCGGTCTGAGGAACCTTTCACACCTGGTGTCTTGGTTCAGACTAAAGTGAGAAGTCAGAAGGAACCACTTTTGGAAACCACCTTATTCCACATCACACTCAGAGTCACTGGCTGGTTTGATGAGCAGGACCTGCATCATATCAGCCCGCAGCATTTCCACTGACAGAGACGAGCTGCAGGTTCGTCAGTGGAATACTGTTCTGAGCCGGGGACAGTGGTTCAGTTGTGTCATGGGTGATGACATGTGAGGCTGCTGAATTTAATCAATTAGCTGGTGTGATTATTTTGCAGGTCCAGTGGCAGCGTTCCACGTAATAAACCTCTGATTGTTTCTGCCTCAATCAGTGGTTGTTTCCCACAGGAAGGATGTTGATCACACACACACACACACACTGTGTGTTTTATATAAAAATGCAAATACCAGATTTTATCCTATAATTTAATTTAACTCCTGAATTTGAATCTTGGATGCATTTCCATTATTACTCATTTATTTTCCTTCCCTCCGTTTCTCTGACCTTCATTACAGGTTTTGTTTTTCTTGTTGGAATAAAATATCTGTGAAACATCATCTACATGAACTCCATGAACTCCAGATCATCATCATCCCCTCAAACCATTAATCTGCCAAGAGGAGCAACTTGTAAATATTTATAATGTTCTGAATATCTCCCTTGTTCCACTGAACCTACCTGAACACACACACACACACACACACACACACACACACACACACAGGGGCGAAAACAATACCCAGCTTCCAGTTACACCTGTTTTTACTAAATAATACAAATATTAAAGACATTTATTCATCATGTATTAATATGTTCTTTAAAATAGTAGAATTTAAATACTGTTAATTTAATTTGAAAGAGAATTTGGCTGTAAATCATCAAACAACATTTCTTAACAATATCTTATTAGTCCTGAAATGTCCCCCGTAAATAAATCAAGATGTGACATCTGTCCATTTAAATCCTCCATCACCGTCTGAAGCATCGTCCCCTTCCTCGACCGACCGCACTGTTGTCAGGCGCTAAGTGGATCGTTGGCAGGATGGTGAGAAACACAAGAACCCATCAGCTGAATTACCGCGTCGTCAGATAAAAGTGACTTGTGGGCAGGGACGTCAATAAATAACAATGAGGGGGGCTGACCTGAAGGTACGGACTCCAACAAGGGTTTAATCAAAGGGGTACAAAGCCTTAACTGGTCCAGATCATTGAAACGACAAAACGTCAGAGTGACGAGCTGCCACTGAGCTGGAGGAGCCAGTGAATTCAACAGATAAGGAGGGAATCTGCAGCAGCGGAGGGAGTTTCCTGTTCTGCACGTGTGAGCGGCATTAAAGGTGAAATAACTCACCGCCGCCGCCGCTGCTGCTGCTGCTGCTGCTGCTGCTGCTGCTGCTGCTGCCTCCTCACAGACGGAGGAAGAGGAGCAACCGGTGTCACAAGTAATTTCAGCTGCAAAGGTCAAAAACCTGCGTTCAAGCTTTATTGCAGCTTCGGGTTTTCTGCATGAACCTGTGGATGTATAAACCTGCTTCTGTTCCGAATGCTCTCAGAGCTGCAGGACGTGAAGAGAGAGAGAGAGTTGTGCAGGAGGGAGAACCAACGAGCTGCAAACCGATTCTCCGTTAACTCAAACAGCTCAAACCGAAAGATGTCACCACTGCAGCTGTAGTAACAAGACTTGACCGTCTGTGTGGACGATGAAAACGTTCAGGAGTGAACAAACAGCAAAGAGCAACCGAGAGAGCTGAAAGTTTGAAATATGTTTTGGTTCATCATGTTACATACAAGCAAACACGGAGACGTCACATCTGACTCTACGTGAGAAAGTATTAAGTATTGACGTAATCGTCCACGATGTTTTCAACAGGTGGTGTTATGAGTCATGTTGAACCCATATAAAAAATGATAGCATTAAATTTGTGCTCCAGTGAAACCGTCATCATGTTACAGCATCTAACCTCTGTCAGCAGACGTCACTGTGATGTGGAATAATTACAGGCCTTTCATTGTGTTTGATTGTGGCCTCGGCGGAGATGAAACCATGATCTGACTCTGCAGCCGAGCGTGAAACTTCACTTCTGATTAGAGCGCGAGCAGAACTTATGACCTCTTTAGTGGGTCTTAATGAGGCTCTTAGACCGAGCCTAATGATTATTTTGAGTGCGAGCGGAGAAAATATGAGAGCAGGGGGAAGGTGACGGCATCTTGTTTTTTATACACTGAGGCCTCCTACTCAGACAGGAGACAAATCCCCGAGGCAACGTGTCCTCACGGAGAGTTTTACTGCACTTAGCAATCAAATAAAACATCCACGTCTGTTCTGAGTGTCTGTTAATTAAAGCTGATAGGAGCTTCGGGTGATTACCACCAGAGCGGGACACATAAAGAAAAGAAAACACGCTCGCATAAATTCAAACCAATCAGAGGAAGAAGATGGTGAAACTTTGACACAAGCAAATGATCTTGTTAGAGATTAATATCTGGGCTATGACGGACGTCTGGAGACAATCCCAGCTGACCAGGGACAGGAGGTCGGGACCCTGATGAGGTCGGCATCATATCACAGGACCTAAAGAAACAACCCTCCACCTCTCAGCAGCAGAATTTGTGTTTTTGCAGTTTGAGGGATAATTCATCGTATTTTCCCATAAAGTTTATTATTCATTTAAAGTGACGTGTTTCCACATGTTGAGTCCCACATGCTCGTTTAAAAACGAAAGATGATCGTACCTGATGATCGCTGTGACCAGCGTTTACAGATATTATCGCATTTTTACGATTGTTGGAACTTCTCAACATTCCTCCTGACTGTGGTTCTGCAGCTTCTGTTGAAGCTTTTAAAAAGAGCTCATTTACTCAAACTGTAATATTTGCAGTGAGATTTATTGTTTGATACTTTTCTATGGTGTTAGTATTTCATTAATGTGAAGCTGTTTGTGGCTCTGCTCTGGGGGAGGTGCTTTACTGAATAAACAGATTTGCTTGTTATGTCGGGGGAACACGCTGAGAGTGAGAGGATCAGTATCAGCCTGGCTCTGGCCCAAGTGAGAAAACGCCTGAGACTCACTGATCAACACTTTGCGTCTCACTCGTGAAGCTGAAACAACAATTGATGGTTTTTTGATGATTTTGACACAGACGATCCACATGGTCAGAATTTACAACCCTCGTTCTGCGCTTGTGTTTAGAACAAGTTTTGTTCTTTGTCAAATCCGAGCTTGATCATAAAAATAGGATCGCAGTTTAAATCCCCTTAAAACCTCATTTTATTGTTTCTCCATTTCTGTTTGTTCATGGAATGAAGAACGTCTTCATTAGTGAGCGTTAAAGCTGCTGCTGGGTCTTATTTTTTATTATTATTTTTCTCACAGTGGACTGATGTTTTACTGCAGAATGATGACATCAGCTTCAATAATCACCAACAATAATAATAAAAAGGGAAACAAAGCAATTGTCCGTTGAAAAATTAAACAATATTTCCATTTAGAGCAAATGAGGGTGAATCACGCCTGATGTAGTTATGTGTCATTTACTTTTCAATGGTTCTATAGAGAATTTTTAACCTCAGGCCAGAACAACTCAGTTTGTGTACACTGGGTTTTCTCTACTTCCTCCTGTTTTCTAAAGTTAGACAATCATAACCAAGCAGGATCCTTGAGAGCAGGATCTTTAGGTTCAACGCTTACACTCGAAACCCTGCGCTCACAGGGCCTCTTTGAGAGCAAGCAAAAATCTGACTATGAAATTGTTAAAAATTCCCTCTCTTGAATTAACAGACAGGAGGAACCTCACAGTCTTGCAGTTTGTCTTTGTTAACGTTTTTTTTACAAAAACACACAGATCTCACAGGAGGCATCGAATCATGTGCATCGGCCTCAGGGTGAGAAGGAGACTCACGACAATCTGTGGAGGAATCTTTGCTGTGGACCAAATTTATTGGACGGATTTTTATCACAGATGATATCAACACTTGTCTCCAACCGGAGTGATTAAATGGGAGGAGCTGTGCAATGAAACAAACACACAGCAGACAGACTGTTATTTTATTGGCCTATTCCACTTGTTGTGTGACAATTATTGTGCGACAGTTTCATTGCCGTCATCAGGCCCTTGGCTTCCTCGTTTTCTGAACGGCTAATTACACATTCTCACGGTATTAATCACGACTCTATCTTTGCACCGGCGCTAATTAGTCCATTTTTAAGATGCTGGGAAAACATGTGTTGCGACAAAGGCCTGTCTGCACACACGGGCCGGTCAGTAATTTATTCCAGTCAGATATGGAGAGACTGGAAATGTTATTAACACTGTGTTTTGTACGTTGACTGCTCAATATTGTCTGGCTGTGCACACAGTGGGCAGAGTGGCTGACAATAAAGGCATATGCACAGCAGACATGATGACTGTTTCCATCTGTGTGCAGAGACGGAGGAGTTGATTCAGAGGTGCAGAGATGGAGCAAAGCCTCGGCCTGAAACTGAGCGATGTGACGAGGACGTTGTTGTGCATCTCTCACTTCCTGTTTATTCAAAGAACAGTGACGAGTCAGTTCCTCTGGATTTTCAGTGTGAAACCCACAAGTTTGCAGGAATATTATCAGCTCCGCAGGCTTCCTCAGCCGTCGTCATGGCAACCAGAATATATAGAAAAGAAACGCACCGTCGGTCTCCTCCGTAACATTCGCACTAGCTCTCCGAGTGAATGTTTTGTTTTCCTCGTGTCTCTCGGTGACAGATGATCATCGCTCTGATCTGTTCTCCACATGCGCTACAGTTCTCAAACTTCTGCATCATTAGCTTTCGACTGTTTCTCACTTGTGCCTTGGTTGAGAGAAATATCTTAATGTGCTATATATCTGTTATTACTTTCCTCATCCTGTCCAACGCTGCAGCTCCTCTGCTCAGCCTCTGTCTGAAACACTTCATTTACCACAGACGTTTGGCTTTTAAACTTTGCAGAACATTTAACATCCACAGAAAAAAACCTAAGCAACAAATGAGAGGAAAGAAAACCTGAAAAAGTCACAGGTCTCCTTAAACGTCTAAGAAATTTCCCCAGAGAAGGAATCTCAGTGACATTGTTCTCGCCCTCGTGTTTAAAATATTAAATTCTACTGTAAATTACAGCAGACTAACATCTGGATCATGTTAATGGACAAATTAGTCTCAATCTCTGTCCAGGACCTTTAGCTTCGTACGACAGTTCACGTGCATTTGTCATGTGCGTAAACAGGATGTAGATTGTCTACAGGTCTATGTCTCTGCTGTTGGTTGCTTAGTTACAGAAAATACTACGAGAGACGCATCAATCAGGAAGTGAATGTTGGCGACCGCACCGTCATCTCCAAACGTCTCAGTTTGCTCGACAGTTTTCAAACTACAAGTTTAGTGACGTTTCCAAAATTCTCAGTTTTAAGCAAAAAACTATGGAGTGGTGTTAAAAACAGGCGTAAACATAACAAGAGTGATACGTTTAAAAGTCAATTGTAACGTGGAGCTACTGTTACCTGGCTTCTCCTCAACCGTTTACACGTCTGTCAGACGTGGCTACGCACGGAAACTTGTCAAAGAAGTTCTGCAGACACATTCCCAAAGTTCACATGGATAGAACGAATGAGACGAGGGTGAAAAGCTTTTCTGAAGAAAGGCAGATGTGAGTCAGGTAGATGGATAATCACACAGCTTCAGCTTCCACTGAGCCGCTATTGGAGAATACACTCATTCACAGGATCTGTGTTAGATTTTAATGAAAGGATTAAATTAACCTCAAGGCTCAAATGAAAGAATCCACTGTCTCTTATAAAACAAGCAGTGACTCATCTCGTGCGTAGAAATTCAAGATCCAGCTCCATCTTTAGTTCAGGTGCATAATGTGGTCGTTTACAGGCGGAGGAGCAGAGAGCTGTAGTGGCTCTTAAATGACAGAATGTACATTATGTCTCTTCGAGTGTGTCCACTCGCTTACTGTTGTTTGCATTGACGTAGCGCTGATGCACTGAAACATCCACACTGTGCTGCTCCCTGAATCATGAGGTCGATTTATTCGCTCTCCTCTCACGATCAGAGTAAAATAGACTGTGTGTGATCCTGAAAACTCAAGACTGCAACGAAAACTCAAGCAGCAGCAGGCAGGAAGCAGAATGGACGTTATTCGCACATAATATTTTGGGAAATGCATTTATTTGATTTCTTTAGACGTGAGGACCATAGATCATTCGGTTCATCATTAACTCTCATGGTACGTACCTTGCTGGCGCCGGGGAGCAGGTGCAACTTGACATAAGGGTCTGACAGCCCATTGTGGTCCATTGGCTTGAGCCCCTGGAGAAGAAGAGGAACAGTCAGTCATTACGATGAAAAGGTTCCACACACTGTGAGAATATCAGGCATTGATTTGTGCACCAGTGTTAATTACATGGCTACAGGTTCATCTGGTTAAATCCTCTGAGGCTGGCAGGTCGGCAGAACGGCCAACACACGGAAACAACCAACCGTTGACACTCATTCATTCCTACAGGGAATTTAGAGCCAATAACTTTTGACCAAAGGAAATTAAACGACCATCTGTAGTACGTAGACGTACAAGTGTATTTGTTGTAGTGAACCTGATTCGCACATACACCCTGAGTAGTGGGTTGAAGATAAAGATGAGCTCCCCCTTGAAGACATCCTCCACGTTGATGGACGGGACATGAACCAAACTTAAATGTAAAACTGCACCTTAAATGAATTTTTCCCAGAGGTGGTTTCTGTCATTTCAAGTAGTTCTCATCACACTGATGTTCAAGTGCTACTTTTTTGCAGTGAGTTTCATTTTAAATAATTGAAACAGGCTGAAGTGTCATGACCTTAATAATGCAGCTCTGTGATCACTGCTGATATCTCAGATTTTATTTTAGTACAACGGGAGGAAAAAAGAGATGCGTCATCCATCTTCATTTACAGCCTCCGGTCCAGCACAGTCCCTGCTGGAGAGAGCCTCCTTATCACGCTGGGAAACTTTAAAGAAGAGGTTTTAACATTTTAATATTCTTCTCAAGAGTAAATCAACAAGGACGCATTGTGCGAAGGTCACGCATACGATGAACAAATCAAACAAACCATGTGGGCGCTCACCGAAACGTCCCAAAGAGATTCGGAGGGAAACGGCGGCCTCATTTCTGGTTCCATGACAAAAACTTTGTGATGTTCGACCAACACAGAGTTTTTCTTCATATCATAAGCAGGAGAATTTCCTTGGGTCTTTACTGAAGCCATTTCTCTTTAAAGTTAGCGTGAGGAGCTCATATAGAGGAGCTGCTCCTGGACCACGCTGGAGTATCTCATCTGGTCCGGAGACTTGTTCAGATAAACTGTGCACAATCAAAGTTAATGGACTCGATAAAGTTCTCTGTGGAAACTCATGCACATTTCATAGGGATCTGCTAATCTACAGAATTGCATGAACGTCATCTCCGTCAGTTGGTTCCAGCCTCTGCTCAGGACGCCTCCAGGGCTGAACGCTGTCTTAAAAAAGTTCCTTCCTTTATTCTCTCCTTCTTTATTAACAGAAACATAACACAATAAATATCAGACGCTTTACAGCACATAGGAGGAGATGGGGGAGTGTGAGTCAGTGGGTGCAGAGTGTAGAAGAAGAATATGAAAGAGGGACGTGAAGAAAAGGTAGGAGGCTTGAAAAGAAACGTGAGGAATCTGTAAATCTTTTTCAACAACAACAAAACATTCTCTCCGCAGTCTTTTAATAATCCAACATTTTTCCTGAATGCAAGTTTATCTTCGTGGCTGAAATGATCTGAGCTTCGGCTGATGCAAAATGGAATATATCAAATATTACTACTATAAATACTACTATTTCCTTATTTTACTGTTTTCTAAACAGAGTTACAGTGAAAATAAACCATAATAAACAATACTCAGCCTCAACGAGGTTTAAAAACCATCATAGCTCTCTGATCTTTCAATCCACAGATTTCATTTCTAATCTTCCAAATAATACGATTTAACATCACAGAAGAAAAGCCATCACTCAAATAGAGAAAATCCTGTATTATCAGCTTCGGGCCATTATTTTAATTGTTCCGTCTTTAGGTTTCTTTTT